GGTTGGACTTCCTGCTTTAGCGATCCCCTCAAACACAGACTGGAACTTCTTCTTCAGACCAGATTTAAGTTGATGTTGACAAACTGCAGCAGGATGTTCTGAATTAACACAAAAAGTAAAATCAGAGATGAAACAAAAATACCTTCTGAAGATGATTTAAATAAATGTGATTCCATTTCTTCAGACATCAGTAAATGTGTCATTTATCCATCAGGTCAAATCTTTGTAGAAATCCTCTTACTGCTCTGCAGACGGTCAGCCAGCTCCTCCTGCTTCATCCTCCTCAGGAAGTTCAGTGTGATCTTCATCACTGCCTCTCTGCTGCTCCTCCTCTGATTGGCTCTTCTTCTCTGCTTCATATCAGTGTCAGGTGAATGCAGTCAGACAGCAGAGAGGCAGAGGAAGCTGCATCAGCTGCTGCACTTCTACTATCAGTCCACTAGATGGAGACATGGAGCAACATTTACATTCACTGGTTCAACCTGCACTTCTACTATCAGTCCACTAGATGGAGACATAGAGCAACATTTACATTTACTGAAACACTGAACATCAGGAACTGAACATGTGTTTCATTAAATCACATCATCAAGTATTTATGGAGCACATGTTGGCAGCTATTCTGGCCATTGAGAGGCTGCCTGGTTCATACAACAAAATGCCTTGCTGTGAACACTGAACGTCAGATGCTATGTGAACAGATCCAAACAGGAAGCGACTTTTGTAGAAAACCATGCCAGCAAGTTTCAGGAACTTGCTGGCAGGAAGGAACAGACCTTGGAGAAGTTGCAAGCTCAGATTGGCACGATTGACAGTTTGTTTGGAGTCATTGAAATGTAACGGTTAGACTTTAAGGCAGATGTGAAACTTAACAGAGTTGGCCTGATCCAAAATAAATTGTCAATCAAAATCAAATTTTATTGGTTTTATCACAATTCAGCAGCAAGGCATTTCAAAGTGCTTTACATCATCAAAAACAGTCATGCAACATATAATCAACAATCAAAACATTACATTAAGTCTTTAAAAACTTAACTGTTATTGTTTCAATCCAACTCTAACCAGGTGGGTTTTTAGTCGAGATTTAAAGGCACCCAGTGTTTCAGCTGTTTTACAGTTTTCTGGAAGGTTGTTCCAAATTTGTGGTGCATAGAAGCTGAATGCTGCTTCTCCATTTTTTGTTCTAGTTTTCACTAGATGGAGGCAAAGAGCAACATTTACATTCACTGGTTAACTGACTACTACTTTGTTTCACAATTAAACTCTCCAAGTGAATTATCTGGTCCATAAAGGATGAACTATTTATTAATCTCACTGGACAAAAAACAAATTTTAACAATAATATTTAATTTTGAAAGGAAGAATCAAAACAAAAATGGCAAAGATCAGAAATTTATTTTAGGAATAAAACATGAAACTGTTTTTTTTCACATAAGTAAACAAACATCAGCTGTTCATAATGTTTAATTCCAGTTCATTATTAATTTAATAATCCTGTGGATTAATTGTTAACAGATTAAACTTTGAGCTAAAATCAGAAGTGAATGTTTTCTCCAAAATCAGAAAGCAGAAACAAACAAGAAAGTTCCTGAAGATTAAATTCAGCTAGGAAACAAAGCAATCTTACACTTTGGTCAAACGATCCAAAGACTTGAAGAAGAACATCTGAAAAGACTGAGACCCAACAGAACGAGACTGGTGTCACACCTGAACAGGTGAGTTTAAACTGATAGTGTTATGAAAGAACTGAACCCAGAGGACAGAGCTGCTGGTTGCTTTTTGCAACTAGTCAGACTGGTCTGGTTGCTCATATTGACTTAGACTTCTGCTGCTGTCTGAGAACATGATCCCTTATAACTCCCAGTTTGTACACAAACTGCTCCTGTTATTCTGGGGATTCAGGTTCTGTTCAGCTGTACTGGAACTAAAATATGTTTAACTTTGGAACAACTGGACACTTGAATTTATAACCTGCATGATGAATGATTATTAAACACAGATTAAGCATTTTTAAATCATCTCAATATGTCAGTGATGGTAGAGATCAGAACTGGAAGGTGTTTGTTTTTACCTCATATTTGCCAACAGTCTTCCAGTATTCCTATTATCAATTTTATAGGTATAGTAGGTAGGTATTTTGTGTTAGAGGTTTGATCCAAAAATTTTATAAAACTTGTGGCCCTCTATTATTTTATTTTGAGAGACTGGATGCCCTCCCTCAAGCCTGAGGGTTAGCAGAGAGGCAGAGGAAGCTGCATCAGCTGCTGCACTTCTACTATCAGTCCACTAGATGGAGACATGGAGCAACATTTACATTCACTGATTCAACCTGAACGGGAAGGATTTTAGTTCATTATTAATCACTTCAAATGATTAACAACTAATTAATCATTTGCAGTAATTGGATTATGTTCTGCATCAAAGATTATATAGATATTTTACTTTGAAAGGAAGCAACAAGTTGTTTCTGACTTTGATGGTGGAGACCAGAGTTTGATCACAGGAAATAAAAACATGAAGCAGATTTTTCAGAGAAGAAATCATAGAAACGTCGTCCTTTTATCATTTTGATTCCAGTTCATCAGTAATATAATTCTGACCTTCAATCAGCAGAGATGAAACTTTGAGCTGAAATAAGCAGTGAATCTTTTCTCCAAACTTTAGAGAGCAGAAATAAACAGGAAAGTTCCTGAAGACAAAGTTCAAGTAAACAAATCAAACTTACAATTTGTTCAAACGATCAAAAGAGTCGAAGAAAAACATCTGAACAACAAATAAAGATCCAACAACCTGATCAGAGCCGCACTTTAACAGTGTCATTGAAACTGAAAGTAAATGTGACGGATGTTGCGTAACTGATGACGTCACAGCTCATGTGGGTTGTAGTTTCTTCTTTCAGAGCAGCAGAACCAGGAAGTAGAAGGTCTGCAATGAAATCAGAGGCAGGTTGATAAAATCTTCATGAGGATTTACTTTGTTTAGACCAGTGTTTCTCAACCTTTTTTGGGCCAGCACCCCCCAGCCTTCATCCAGGTCCCTCACCGCCCCCACC